TATAATATTTCTCTTTCTGTTAATCATCCTAATATAATAAATTAATTACTACTATTACAGTATTTTGTTGATATCGAGGTTCCGATACATAGCGAAATTGCAATATTAAATATTTAATTATGATTGCAATCAATAATTTAAAATATTAAATAAATTGCATAAATTAATATCAAAATAAAGTAAAAAATCATCAAAAAAAAACTAATATAAAAAGGAAATGATGTAACTTCATATTCTATAATTTCTAAATGATCCCTTCCACAATTTTTCATATATTGAGCAAGTCAATGTACATGCGCAAAAGCAAGAAATTAAACTAAATATAAAATTCTTACCTAAAACTAAAGAAACTCAAACCACCAGTCAAAAACCAAAATCCACCGGACACAACCAGGCGTGAGTCAAGAAAACTAAATATTAAAAAAATTATCTATAAAAAAAATAATAATAATTAGTATTCCACGATGCTGTACAAATAAAAAAAGAAAAATTAAAATAATTTCATACCTTAAAATTTCATCAATGGCATTGTAGACACGGACAAAAAAGAAACAAAGAAAAAAATAAAAATTTCTACCCTAAAAATCTAAACTAAAAAAATCTATCTTAATAAAATCAAAATTAAAAAGTTTTTTATAATTATACGGATTAGTATTGTTCATTCATTAATTGCGCACATGTACATTGATTCCATCAACTTCTTTAATTCTTCAATCCTATCAACTTCTTTTATTCATAGTTCTATCAACTTATCAACTTCTTTGAATTATCAATTTTATCTTCTGTGTTTCATCAATCTATTAACTTCCTTAAATCATCAATTCTATAAACTTCTTTGAATCATCAATTCTATCAATTCTATCAATTCTATCAATGAAATTCCATTGATAACAACAACAAAATTCAATCTGGAATAGATAAATGAATTCAGAAATAGATTATTATTAATATTCTCAAAAGAACTATTAGATAAAAATTATTATGAATACAATAAAAATAAAACAATGCAATATTCATTATTCTGCAACATAAAAAAAATGAATAGTAGTTTGTTTGCACAATGGAATATCTGTGCAAGCTTCACAGACAATCTAAACAAACAAAAAAATACAAGCTTGGTAGGCAAACAATATAGAGAAACAGCAGTTAGTAGTCTTATACAATATAATACTTGCAAAAGCTTCGTTGACAAGCCAAACAAGTAGTTAATATTGCACTTGCATGATAAAATACCTGACAAATTATGACTCAAGTAGTAAACAAAGCAACAAAACAAGGGAGCTATCTGACAAACAGAATTAGTAGTAGTTTTGTGAAATACACAGGTCAAATACAAAAGAATAGCCATACCAAAAAGGAATTCTGATTTTAGCTGATTTATAATATAGGATGCAATAGGATGGTTGATTTTTTTTTATTTATTTTTAGCTGAACTATAATATAGGAATCACAATTCAATACAGCAATTCTTTTGTATTTGACTAGTAAAATATTTACAAAAAGTACTTAAACTCGAAATATTTGTAAAAAGAATAAGTTATTAAAGAAAGCAAAAATAATTTCAGTTTTTTTGAAAAAAAAGAAAAAAAAAGTGAAAAAGTGAAAAGGATATAACACAATTTTTTTTTTTTGTAAATAAACAAAATTACTTATTAATTACATCATCATGTATTTAAAAAATATAATAATAAATAGTGATTTGGGATCTTTGTGAATTTTTTGAAAAAAAAACCAATGAAATGATTTTATTTTTCCTACATATATATAAAGACTAATTAAAAAATGAATGGTTAAAAGAAAATGTTATATTACTTTTCAACATTCCTTCAAGATAAATGAAATCATCTTCATAATAATGAGCAAGCTAAGAATATCATACGACAATATGATTTGTTCACCAGTTATTTATTATAAAGTCATGATGGACATATATATATTAATAATTACTCTTTTTTTATGTTTAAACACTATAAATTTTCGCTCATATCGCATATTCTTCATTATTGACTCTACAAAAGGTTTTACCTTCTGGATACAACATTATTACAAGAAATAATTCTATCATAACACAAAGTTTTCTATTCTAAATATATATGAAAGATTAGTATCAATAATTTTGCCAAATAAAGTTTTACTACTTTATTTGACCTTCGTTAAGATTTCTCTATTCAAATTATTTGTTTTCACTATGTCGGTTTCTTCTAGAGAAACTAATTAAATTAATTTACTTGCCATATCATTGTAATAAAATATTGACCAACAGAAAAACCATTTATAAATACAAATTTTATTGCTAATAAAGCATAATATTGAAAAGCGTAAAAGCTATAATAACATAATATACTAAACAAGAGGTCTAGGTTGGCTTTGTACTTGTAATATTTAATTTAACTCGTTTTAGTTTAAATAAAAAAAGTTTAAATATTGAAAATTAAAATTCAGCTTTAAGCCTAATTTTCCAAGTATATTGTCAAGATAAGAAACTTTAGACTCAGAAAAGATTATCTTACAAAAAAATCAATATAAAATCAAGATGATTGTTTTTCCATAATATATTTTTTGTTTATTAACTTAAAATTATAATTATTCTCGTAATCGAAATAACTGAATTTATTTATTATTTTTTAAAAAGATAAAATATTTAGCTTCGCTTTGGAAAAAAAGTCTTCAACTAATCGAATCACAGAGAATAATATAATAAAAATTAAAGATTAGAAAAGAAGGATTCTCTTTAACGTTAGTTTTTTCATTTATAGAAGAAATGATTTATGATTTCCGTATGTAAAAAAATTCCAAGTCCCCAGGATATTTTATAAAAATCGATATTCAAATGGTGTAACATGTAGTAATAAATATACTATAGTGCAGAAAGTCTAAAGACATCACTGCTGAAATTTTATACACTCCCCTAGCAAAAGTATTTGTGGAATGATAAAATTCGAAAATAATTACTAAACCTAAAATGCTAATTGTGGCACAATGAGTTATCTAAATTGTACAAACTTTTTTTATTAGATTTCCCTAAACTAGGGCTATCTTATGATATATTTTGTGATAAAATTGAACATCTATACATAGAGATATTACGTTTCAAATGAAACTGACAAAAAATAATAAATTTATTCTTAGATCGTTACCTATACCACATTCTATGGATATTAAAGATAGATGCCAACTATCTTATTTGAAATTGTAACTAGAAATAATATCTCAACTTTAATTATTGACGTATTTCTCACCACCTAATTTAAATTTTGACTTCAATTAGAAATTTAAAAAAATTTTAAAAAAATAAAAAAATTGAAAATAATTATATCGATCGTTTTACCTAAAAACTTGATTATTTATTAACTTAACAATAAATATGATATTAAGTCACCTTAAAGCCTAAAATATGGAGCATCTTTGTAAAAATTCCAGCTTTATATATTGAAAATTGAGAGAATTAAACACAATTAAACTTTAGAGTATTATTTTAAAACATCCAATATTCAACCGTTAATATTAAACTCAATTCTCAATTTAAAAATCTAAAACTAGATAAGAAGTTTTTATATGTGGTTCCGATTGGTAATTATTTTTGAATTGATTTTTTAAAAATGATCGAGACAGATTGTGAAATTGATAAAATTCGAAAATGATTAACAAAAAGTTGTAATGTATTAAAATTAATTTTTTAATAATAAAAAATAAAAAATGCTTATAAATAACCTTAAAGAATAAGACAAAATACATATAATATATAAATTATATATCCATATAATTCCAAATAAAGGAATAATCAACGTTCAAATTCAAAGTAAAATTTTTAAGAAATTTATGCTAAAAATTGATCCATCTCAATTTTTTGAACTACTTTTATAACTATATTTGAGCCACTAAGTAAACAGCTTCAGCACATTTTAAATATATACAGTAGCAATCAAAAGTATTGCATCGCCTGAATAAAAATTTTAAAATTTTTATATCTCATGATACATGATGTACAACATAACATAAAAATTTTATTAGACTCCTGAAAATGATTAGATTCAATAAAATAAAATCCATTGCTTATTAATAAGACCAAAATTTTAAAAAATTTATTTTTTATGATTTATGTGATGCATTTCTTTTGATCGTTAGTTATTTTTTTTAATTTATGTAAAAAAATATAACAAAAAACAATTCAATAATATTAAAATTTTTAAAAACTATTTTTTACTATCTGGTATAACTACCCTTTGTTTTAATTACATCATTTATACAAGTTGGCATAGTGTCTACTAACTTCTTACAAACATCTACTTCCAATTCTACCCAAATTTTTTGGATTGCATCCCACAACTGATCCTGATTTTTAACAGAGGTCTCAAGTCATCTTAATTATTATCAATTTTGTTCCACAGATGCTCAATAGGATTTAAATCTAGAGATTATACTGGCCAATCTAATATCCTAATGCTATTGTCCTCGAACCACTGTTTTGTGAGATTAGTAGTGTGTTTGGAATCATTATCCTGCTGAAAAGTGATATTATTTTTATCCAACCCATGCCATTGGATGGTTCCTAATAGGTCTTCTTCCAAAATTTGTCAATATAAACTCCCATCCATGTGTCCATAAATTCTGACAACATTACCAACACTATCAGATGTGAAGCATCTCCATACTATGATATTGCCCTATCTAAATTTGACTATAGGTTTGATATGATGATCACATAATGGTTCTTTGGGTCATTTCCAACAGTATTCCCTTCCATCTGATTCATAAATCATAAATTTTGATTCATCAGACCAGATTACTTTGCTCCAGTCTTCTATAGTCGATTTTTGATATTTTCTTACAAACTTCATATGAGCAATTCTATGTATATAGTTTTTTGCACCTCACTTGTGCACCCAAACCATTTCAGTATAATGTTCTCTTTATTGTGCACTCGCTAACATCAATTTGATTGTCAGTTCTTAATTTTTTTGAATTGCAACTGCATTTGTACACTCACCTGTTATAATTAATTATATAACATTTCGTTCAATATGGTCTGTTATAAGTCTTGGATGACCAGATTTTGGTTGATTCTTAAATGGACCAGTCTTATCTTTACATTGTTTAATTCTTATAACTGTTAATTGTGAAATATTTTCTTTATTTACTACATAACGAGAAGGATATCCTTCTTCAAGTAATGCATAAACCCAGGCTCTTTTTTCAACAGGTAAATATATCATAAATAGTTTAAAAAAAAATTAATAACAGAGTAAACAATAAATTTCCTTTTTTATATGTATTACATAGTGTGTTTAGAAGAAAAAAATTTTATATATCTTGTTTATGTTTATTTTCAAAACAATCAAAAAAAATGCATCACAGGTTCTGAACATTATTTTTATTTCTGAAAAATTTTCAAAATAAATAAAAAAAAGATGATGTAAGGAATAAATATAAGGTTTGACAAAACTATTAATGAAGTATTGTAACACTGTGTTTCCAGAATCACAAGATATTAAAATTTTAAAAAATTTATTCAGGTGATACAATATTTTTGATTGCCACTGTATATTCAAATTTTAATAATTTTTTTGTTACATATTAATTAAATAATTTGAAAGAATAGAAAAAATTATAAAAAATTTTAATGTTAAATTTTCTCACGATTTTATTGTAAAATAGATATAAAATTTTGTAAATATTCTTAAAATATTAGTAAAAGATAATACTAATTCAATAATTTATTAGATTTCCTTTATTTTCAATTACACCTTTAATTCTTTGTGACATACTATCAATTAATTTAATTAAAAAAATTGGTATCTGAATTATTTCATTCTTCTTGCAATATTTTAATTAATTCTGCCTTGTTTTTTGATTTTTGCTCATATTTTCTAATTTTTCTATTCAATTCAGACTATACCTGCCACCCAAATTCAAAATCCAAATGCCAAAATCCCAAATCCCAAATCCCAATTCCAAATCCCAAATCCA